GCATGGCTCTTGTATGATGATACAAGACCTCAGCTACAGCAGAGGAAAGAATCAGGAGACCTCACAATAATCAAAGGGCACAATCATGACCTTGGAGAGGGACTCAGGGACTGCACGGAAGGACAAATAGGTCACAGCCAGCAAAGGAATGCCTGGGCTCCACCCAGCAGGTCATCCCCAACTCTACCTCCAGCACCCCATAAGTGACCTGGTATGAGCCAGCAGGTACAGCTAGGTACATCTCATGGGTTGCAAGCAGGGGGTGGAGGATGAGCTTGGCAGTAGCTATTGCCCTCCCTCCTATCCACTCCAGAAGATTAGCTCTGCTCCAAGCTGTTGCCTGCCCACCCCCACAAGCCATGGCATCTCCCTGTCCCTTTCCCAGTCTAGGGCGGGGATGGACACCTTGGCTCCTGGGGATGCTGCCTTCAACAGAAAGCTGCCACCTCAAGGCCTCTGTGCCCTGTCCCTACAGGGCTTCCATGCCTTGGGTCAAAGCTGCAGGGAGTAGAACACACCTTCCTGGGAAGTCCTCTTCACCAGCAGATTCAGTTGGTCCACAAAAAACTTCTTCTCACTCTTCATCATCCTGGTGAAACAGATGCGCAGAGCAGCAGACACTCCCCGCGGATCATCATTCACACTGCGCTCCAGCTGCTCGGCCGCCACGTCGCCTATCAGCACCCGGAACTCTGGGACATCTGCAACCCAACCAGGCGTTCACCATAAGCCAGGAAGGGGAGGGGTCACCCACCACCCAGGTAGGGCTCCCCTCACCCCCACTCCTGGCTGACTCGCACTCCCCACAAGAGACAAGCTGTTAATGCTGATGGGAGACCAACTTCTGTGCTCTCTATACCGCATTTCACTGGGAACTGCATGTGGGTCATGCACCATGGTTTGACCCCCACCCGTATTATGTTGTGGTGTGTGGCCTTCCCCCTCAGGCCCTTCACTCTCCAGCAACCAAATACCAGCTGCTTGGAACAAAATGGAGAATCCTATCCAAACCCTGTACAAGTGGATTGTGAGTCAGGCCACTGGAATGAACTGATGCATCTGATCTCTCCTCCTTCTCAGATTCTGAATGCCTTCAATCCCTCCAGCTCTGCTCCCTCTCCCCCACCCCACCACTGCCCATCATCCAACCCAGCATGTAGAACCCTGCAGGTCCCCTTCAGCAGTGCCACCTGTTTCTTACTCTGCAAAAAAGCCACAATTTCTTGGACAGGCCGGAAGCCACACATGCCCTGGAAAGGGGTCAGTGCGATGGCCATTTCTGGCTTGTGATTGGCATCTGGATAGTGATCAGGAAACTGGGCATGGAGCTTCCCTGCCAGATCCTAGAGAGGGGAGAAAAGCACAGATGAGTCCTAACCAGAACAATCCAATCCTCACCCCTGGCTTGCATGACAAGGGGCTGGGGATATGGCAACAGCAATGACAAAATGGATTACATGAACATGGGTAGGTCTTTTTTGAAAAGGACTCAGCCCTGTAAGAATTCCTACTCCCTAGGCTCACTCACTGGATGATCCTCACAGATGGAGTGCATCTAGCTTTGTGCCAGCCTTCAATCTGTTTGCCCACAAGACTTTAGAGCTCTGCCTTCACTCACTGATACCTCCTCTCTGCCTGGTGGAACAGCCACTGTCACTATGCTCCAGCCTGTTGACAACATAGTTAAACACACAAGACTCTCCTGAAATGCAAGAGCAGTCAGCAGAGATGCCAGCTGGTTGTTGATGCAGCCACTCAAGAAGATCTGAGATAGAAGAGCATGTTAGCATGGACTGATTTATTCATCCTCATTAATTCTGTGATGCAGCTCCTGTTATTCTGAATATGCAGGTTTCCCTTGCTAACAGGCAGCGACACCTGCTGTTCTCTAATGAATTACCAGTGAGGTGATTCCCTTATTGAATTTCACATTCCCAACCAATACCAAAACAAAACAAACAAAAAAATCTAACGTTTAAAGGCTGCTCCAAACTCATCAAGAACTCCCAGCCACACTGCCAGGGACTCTTCCATGTGTCGTTTAGAGCTCTTTCCTCCCCATAAAACGAATCTAAAGGAAACATCTCTAGACTGAAGTTCAAGCATTAGGACACAACAAAGCATGATTTAAGGTATCAGTACTATAAGGCATTAAAACTGTTCCTTGTTTAACTTCAAGCCAAGGAGTCAGGCAGTGATGTGACACTGACCAGTTGATTCAGACCTAAAGTTTGGGAATTTTGTATAAGGAACCTTCGAAAAGGAAGTAAATAAAAATGGAAACCATTTCACTGGCTAAAACTCTTTGGTTCTGGACATGCATAGATGGTGCACTCTGATCAAACTGCTCTAAGCCAATGCAGTTCATAGACCTACAGAGCAGCAAAGTGTACAGGAGCACCGCCAGAGCCAGAACTGAGCTTACTGCTCTGTATACAAGTTATAATATTCAGGTCTGCCCTAGCACAGATTTTCAGATGACTGATGCCGAGGCAGACACCTGTTCCTTGCTCTTAAATTATCCCAAATGGGCTGTTCAGCTCCAGCCTTTAATGTCAGTTCTATTCTGGGCAAAGGACACAATACATACTCTACTTATAAGTGCTCCCATTGTTCTTAGTCACATAGATAGCTGTGCAAATATTCTTGGCCCTAAAAGCCAAGGTAGAAGTCCCTGTACTGAGTCAGGGATTCTCAGAGGTGGCTAAGCAGTCTGTCTTCCTCAGCAGGGTATGTCAGGAGAACCAGCAAAAGCACCTTCCTGTTAGCATGGGTGACCTTACAGGGATCCTGGTTTCTCATTAAAAACCCCAAGTCTGCTTTTTTCCGTGATTAAAATCAAATGTCACTATTAGGGGTACACTGATAAAGATTTATTTGGCTGATACGGATGGCCTGTTATTAACCAAACATATTGGTCAATAGTGATCCAATAGCTGATATGAAGCCTGGCAGCTTGGAGAGCAGCATCTACCTGATTAAGTCTGTGAGGAGAGTAGGGGCTGGGGCGGGGCGGGGCAGGGCAGATCAAGGCCCACACGGTAAGGGAGAGAGCGGGGCAGGGGCTGCCCAGCCAGGACAGGGTGGGGGACGGAGGCTCATTTGGGGGGGGGGGGGGGGGGGGCAAGGCGTCCCGCGGGCTCAGGGCCATGGGGCTGTGCCAGTGTCTTCCCAGCAGGGGCTGGGCCAGGGCTGTGCTTGGAGTGGGTGGGGGCAGAACAGGTGGCAGCGCTGAGAGGGGTAGCTATGGGCTGAGCTACACAGCCACCCCAAAATTCGCTGTAGCCCTCCCTCCCAGCACCACCGCTACCTGCCTTGAGCGCAACCCTGGTCCAGCCCCCCTGCCAGGAAGAGGCCAGCACAACCCCTGGCTCTGAGCCCACAGCAGGCAGCCCGCCCTCACCATGAGCACAAATCCAGGGGGGCACATGCCCTCCATGCCTTCACCGGGGCTGCACGCAGCAGCATGGAGTCACCCCCTTTCCCCTCCCTCCCGTGCCTCCCAGATGAGCCACCTGCATAACTCCATCCTGTGCCCTGTCCCACCCCAAATGCACCCCCAAGACAAACCCCCATGGCTCCATCCTGTGCCCCATTATGCTCTGGCTGGGCAGCGCCTGCCCCTACCCGACTCCCTCTTTCACTGTGGAGGCCTCTATCTGCCCCTTCCCCCCTCCCAGACTTGCCAGCTGGATGCTACTCTCCAAGCTGCCATGCTGCATTCCTGGCTGCGTGCATGCTGCAGCTGCGCACATGTGCATGTCATTTATTGGTGACATTTTTGGCTACACCAGCCAAAAAAAGCTGATTGCCAATAATGTCAATTTTCCTTTTACTGGTGCCGATCTGATAGGGACTGATGTATATATAGTGACAAGAGATGCTCTGATATAAGTATCAGTTGAACACAATGTTTAATTGCTATATACACACACACACACACACACACACATATATACACACACACACACAATTTTAAAGCAATTTGGAAGTCTATCAGTGCCTCAATCACTATAATAAAATACATTCTAAATACCTATACATTTTGGCATTTGATTTTGGGTTTATCATGGAAAATCAGAGCTCCCTCTGCCCCCTTTGTTCACCAGGACACAGGTCCAGCTGCAGCTGTCCCCACTGCTTTGTGGTGCTGGGCAGCCCTGATATGCCAGTGCCCCTCACTCTCCACCCACAACCCCCTCAGTAGCACCAGAGCCCTGGCTGCCGCCTGTGGCAGGCAGCAGTGGCAGTGATGGTTGCAGCCAGAGCGGAGCGCGGAGTCTGCCCCCCACCCCGCAAGGCTGGCATGGCTGGAATGGAGCCTGTGGGGGAGCATATGTAGGCTGGTGGCTGTGAGCTTGGGGCTCCCTGCTCCCTCACCCCCAACCTCAGGGCCTTCTGCAGCCCAATGGGCGGGACCCAGCACGGTAGGGCAGAGCAGCGTGGGGAGGCTTGGTACTGCCGCTGGGAGTCCTGCGCCACCATGGTGAAGCGCCTGCTGTCTACCCAGCAGCAACAGGGGACACAATTTTCTTAAAGGGAGAAAACCTGCACTTTTTTCTGTGGCAAATGGAAAACCTGCATCCCTGTTTATAATACAGGACCAACCTACTCAAGGGACCCATACTGTACATTCTGTCCTAGCCACAGAGATCAGTGGGGGCAAGACTGCTGAATCATCTCCATAGGACAGATTAGTTTCCTCTAAAGCTCCATAGCCAGCTCAAGGTCCTTCTCCCTCCACTCATCACAGTATGAGTGCGGCACTCATCTGAGCACTAGCACTTGCTGTCCAAGAGACCCTAGGATGGCACAGGCATGGTGGTTGCTTTAATTTCTGCACAGGTGTCAGAGCACGATAGGTTTTCTGTACTGCTATGTTATGTGCTCAGCAGCATCTAGGCATGGAAGATAACAGCTGGTGGCAAGTAAGTTACTGCTGGACATGGTTATGTCTGAGGCCCCCTAATTCTCCAGTATGTCAGGAAACAAGGCTGAGCTCTGTAGTATGGCCTATACCTGGGACATCCCCCGAGAAGCTATCCTAGAATTGTGGCCCCCAAAGTTATTACAAATTGTATCCTACCTTGTTGGGATGAGCCTGGATGGACAGGGCCATGTTAACTGACAGCACTTTGAACAGGAAAGGCAGCTGGCCTTGGAAGGTGTCTTTGACCTTGGACCCCAGGCACCCTGGATTATCTGCTATCCATTGTCCTAGGGTCTTCTGGGGTATTCGATTATCCAGAATAATGGCATCGCCTTTGGGGTGAGCTCCCATCCAGAGCTACAAGAGGCGGGAGAGAAGACATAACCATTAACATCTCTATGGCAGCTCTCCAGAGGCAGGAGGATAAATTAGCAAGTTAATGGCAATAGGGAGGGGAGGCAGAATGGTCTGAGACAAGATTTTGTCATCCTCAGCTTCCTGGTGCACTCCGACTCAATATGCATCCACAGTCTCCCAGCACATCTCATCTTCCACTCTGCCTACTCAGTGCCAACTATGATGGTTTTCTCATTTTCCAGCTGGGATTGAAATACCCAGGCCTGACTGCTAGGCTCATCTTGCCAGCTACCACACTCTACTCAGCACTTTTCAAAACCTTGGAAATGCTATGCTGGATCAGACCACAGCCCAGAAGATGGGGTGCCCTGCCTCCAGCAGTGGCCGACACAATGCTTTCCCTCTCCGTAGCATGTCACTATTCTGCTGCATTAAGCCACAAAAGAGATTCTAAATTCCTTCCTGACCCCAGCTGGCAATTGGTTCATACCCCGAAGCACGAGGACTGGCAGTTTTATATTGTCTGCATCCTCGCCTGTTTCACTGTGGATGAAAGTCACATTCATAACAGTTGTATTTTTATAAAGGAAGGAACCAGCTTTTGGCCTTTAACAGGATGGCGGGCAAGGGTGGAAGTGGCCAAGTCTGGGGTTGTAGGTGCTCCCCAGAAAAAAGGCAAGGGGATGGAGAGGGAACACAAGGCTTACCTCAGCATATGGCTGATCTGGTGCTATCTGTACCAGGGGGTCACTGCTAGCCAGCAGCTTAGCCACTTCACTGTCCAGGCCAATCTTTCCCCAAGCATATTTCTGCACAGGGCAGGAGAGGGGAAACACTGTGAAAAAAGGCACAAGAACAAAAGGTCACTTGTAAAACAGCTTGCCATCTCTATAGCTGCCCTTTTCCCAACATTAAATTCCTGGGTGACCATCTCCTCCATACTGCTGCCCTCCAAAATGGTGTTGCTCTACCCACTCCCTCTCCCCAGCCTACTCTCATTCCTCATCTTTTGGGCATTCTATCAAACACAAGTGCCTCACCTCTCTCACTACAAAAAGATGTTGCATTTGCCTCAGGATAAACTATTTTATACCAGGACAAAGTGCAACTGTTTAGATATCCATGTCCATTGTCTCAGGATAAATCCTAAAAAGGTTTACGAGATAAGAAGTACTAACAGTACAAAGCGCATCTGAATGGTTATCCCCAGAGTGCACCATTGGATCAATAGCAGCAAGGTAGCACTGCTGCCATCACATTAAACCCCTGATTAGCAGGGTCATAGGTATACATGCCAAACCCAGGACTCCTGTTCCAGGACAAACACATCATCTGTTCCTAGCTTCAGTCTCTGCCCAACCCCTTCTCTATCCTCAATCCTAACTCATCCTCACATTCTTTCCCCACACTCGCACCCTCTCCCAGGTTGTTTTTCCTGCTCAAGTCAGCCCTCCTCTTTCATTCCTCAAACTGCCTTCCCTGCCTGAAGGCCTACTTTTCATTAAAATAATAGCTCACTGAAGAAAAAGTGATGGATTGCCATTTTTATAGTACAGTAACCCTCAGAGGCCCCACTATTCAGGTGCCATACATCCTACGAAAGGGTCTTTACCCAGGAAAGCTTGGACTGTCAGTGTGGGCCTGAAGTGTCCACAATGTCTAATTCTGACATCATATACCTCAGAGCAGCAACAACATGCTTTGCCAAGTAGCATATTTTGACTCCATTGAACAACAAACACTTCTATCATCTTCCCAGGGCAGCTCCACCTAGCCTAGCTGCAACCTACACTCTTTGGTTAAGTCCCAGCCAGCCCAGCTCTGCCATTCGGAGACCAATGCGTTTCAACAGAAACCAGTTTCAATTTAGGTCCCAGCAAAGATGTGTGCCCAGGGCAAGATGTTCAGACTCCAGCCTACCCCCTTCTCCCTCCTGCAGTTTAAAGTTGCTCTGTGGCTTCATCTCTTGCCACCTGCTTATCCCCGAGTCAGGCCTAATGATACAGATAAATATGTATTGACCTCCCTTACTCCTGCACACTGCATGCTGCTATGGGAAAGCTGATTCCACTCCAACTCATGCATCAGTCTACTTGCTGCTTGTGGAGTCTTTAACCTTCAGATCAAGCGCAGCGTCCAGGACTAACTGAAACTGTGGTCCTAGACTTAGGAAGGCTTAGGCAGCAAAGCTCTTGCCTTGAGCAGGGCGTCCCTTCCAGCCTTGTTTTTCTGATTCTGTGATTAGTAAAGTGCTCATATAGGCTCTAGTATCACTGGCAGGCCTCAAAAACACTACTTGCCTGTGCTGGACATTAAAGTTTCCCTACCAAGCAGGGGAGTGAAGGATGAGGCGAGTGGACTGGGGCGCGGGGGGGGGGCATGCACTGGTGCACTTGCATCCCCCCTCCAACTCCTGCTCCACCCAAAGCGTAAAAACCAACCACCTGGCAGCAGCATTTCTAGCCAGGCAGGGTGAGGGAGTCAGTTGACTTTTCAGCTCATCACAATCTGCCTGACCTCCTAAACTCTTCATTCGCTCCCCAGGTGTTAAGGGCCCTCTTTTCGCTGCAATGGTCCTGATGCTGCACCTGTCCAGCTAGCCTTTCTTCTGCAAGCCTTGGTTCGGGCAGCTGCTCCTGGGAAGGAAGCTCCGGTTTCACAGCCCGGCAGACGGCTCTGAGCTCACCCCAGCGACCGCTATTTGTTTTTGCTTCAGACTAAGCGGGACACCGAGCCTGTCCCCCAGGCTTCTTGCTCCCAGTCAACCGGGCCTCTTCCCAGGTGCTGCACCTCGCCCGCCGCACCCCGCTTCCAGATCCGCCCCGGGGCAGGGCGGCCGGGGCTCGAGCAGCGCGTTTCAGGGGGTCGCAAGAACACACGAACTTAAAAAAATGGATTCTCTTTTAAAGGAGAAAACCGTGGGGGCCGCGGCTTCCCCCTGCAGGCGGC